GCACCCGCAAAGCTGCACACCTCCCGGATCATGTCCCACATGAACTTGGTGTGTTTGGTGAGACATCCACAATGGCGGCTGTGCCTCAGTTTGCTCACATTCTTTTTTGTTGTTGTTGTTTTTTGGCGGAACTGGAGATTGAACTCAGGCCTTGGGCTGTCCCTCTGTCCAAGACAGCTGCAGTCATAGCAGCTGCAGAGGGAAAGCATCCCTGCACGTGGCTCACATCCTGTCTTGTAAGCAGAGAGGTTAAGAATGGACAGGCTCTGTTGAAAGAGAAAAGCTAGATCTGTTTGGAAAATGATCGTTTAAAGGGAACTCAGGGCATAGAAAAAATCCCTTGGGATTTTAGCCAACAAATACAAGTGAGTAGAGTCCTTCCAGATCGTTCTTTGAGGTAAGGCAGTCCATAAGGAAGGGAGCCAAGATAAAGCCCATTGGGGGGTGAGCAGGAGAGCAGAATCAGTACAGATGGGAGAATGAAGCAGCTGCAGAGGGCAGTGAAGGAGAGAAAGTGCTCCCACTGGGGAAACGGAAGATGTGCTCTAAGAAGGATTTCTCTCCGCTGTTGCAGAGCGCCGAGTGGAGTGAAAAGGAAGTGCAGTAATTGGGTGAAGAGACACAGGTAGCCGAACACGATGCTGAGACAACTCGGCAAGCTAGATCCCAGCCTGGGAATGCTCGTGGGCCGCCCGCACCCTGTGCTCCCAATTCCCAGACAGCAGAGGCGCCTCTCAGCCTCTCCGGATGTAGAAAGTTTATACTCATTTATACGTGTTGTGATGGTTTTCACAGTTTTATGTTCTGACATTTACTCAAAGGTTCCCCACATTTTCATTCTCCTTTGAAAGGAGCATACATATTTTTTAAATGTATTTGGTACAGGGTCTTGCTACACATCTCAGACTCAGTCTCAGATGCAGCCAGTGCTGGGATTACAGGTGTGAGCCACCACACCTGGTTTCAGTGGCCAGCATGGCATGGGGCAGGCAGAGCATGTGGTACCAGGGATTGAACCCAGCTCCTTGCATTTTCCAGGCAGGTGCTTAAACCACCAATCTGTCTACCCAGCCCAAGCATACATATTTGAAAAGGTCTAATATACTTGTATTGTATGCAGAACTAGTAAGAAAATAATGGTCTGCTGTTATCCACATTAATGTCCACATTAATCTCACTAGTGTATCATTTTCTCAATTAAAAACAGTGAGTCAGAGTCAGGGCTGAGAATGTAGCTCAGCGGCACAAGTGCCGCCCAGCAAGTGTGAGGTCCTGAGTTCAAGTCTCAATTTATGCCCACCCCCCAAGAAAAAAGCAGTGAGTCAGTGCCCACTATTGATTTCCTTCTTCTCTCTCCAGTATTTTCTTCTGTGTGCTCTGCCCCTGCCACCCATATTATAGAAGGAAAGACACGTCCTCGGGTACTAGTGGCTGCATCTGGTGGTAGCATGGGACCCCCAGACCGGGGTGCCCTCTGGAAAGCTCCCTCCACCAACTCAGCACAAGTGCCCACCTACTCAGATTTTTTCATGAAGTATTTTAAAATAGACGTACCAAAAAAATAAAAACTTAAAAATAAAAATAGACAAATGGAGACTACCTGGGGGCATTTTATTGTGGAGTCTCAGCTTGTGTCTGACCCAAACTTCGTTGATAATGTAGAAAAATAACTTTCGGGTTGGCAGAAAGTGAAGTGTACAATACTTTCTTCCCACGCTACTAATAGCCATGTGAATGCAGAATGTATACATTCACAAACCCCTTCTGCTGCGCTCCCCTTCCGCCTGCAGCTCCCCTTCCACCTCGGCTCCACCTCCACTGAATGAGCAAAGGGCAGGAAGGCGCAGGGGCTGGGAGCCTGGGCAGAGATACTGCTTCTGCGTAACACTCGCCTCTCTTACTATCTGGTTTTAGACCTTGCACAAATTCTTCTTACAGTGTTTTCTTGTTTCCTCGTGTACAAAATGAGGGTAATAGCACCTA